CCCCCCCCCCCCCAGCCCCTGCCTGCGGCCCCAAAGCCATCTGGGCAGGAAGCCCAAGGGGCCTGGGAGGAGGGAGGCTCGGGACCCGAGGGGAGGGAAGCCTGGGCCCCGGAGCCCCCGGCTCACTGGGCGCCCAGAGCCTCGCTCTCTTCCAGGGCCAGCGCCGCTCGGGGACGCAGCCAACGCCTTTGAAGCACCGGCTTCACGGAGCCGGGCAGGTGCTGGCTCTGCCGTCCAGATGTGCACACATCTGCCTGCCAGCCACTTGTCACAGCCCCACAGCTGCCGTCCAGCCCCTGGTGCCTCGCGCCCTGGGCCGCGGGGACGATGCCAGCTGGACACGGGTCTGCGCGCAGTCACCTGGGCCGGGCCCCTCCCCCGCCGGGCTGTCAGCCCAGAGGTCCTTCAGCGGCCACATGCCTTTCCGGGCCTCCTTTACCAACCGTCCCGGGCGGCCGGGAGGCCCGGCCGTACAGCCAGATGTCGCCCAGCCCTTTGACGAGCCCCTTGGCCCGAGGCTGGGCTGCCCCTGACAGTGCGTGTGATGGCAGAGAGGTACGAAGGACGCCCGTCCCCGGCTCGGAGAACATGCCCCCCACTCCACCTCACTGACTCGGCCCTTCCCGGCACCTCCGGCCGGGGCGTCTGACGCTCCGTGCTGCCCTCTGTCCACCTGGACCGCAGCCTCGTCCTTCCAGAAGTCTCTGGGCTTGCTCCAACGGGGATCCCAGGCACTTCCCTTGGACTTTCCCCTCGGGGGTCTCCAGTCCTAGCTGGGAGGGCGAGTCCAGACCCCGGCTTGCCCTTCCCGTGAGCCAGCCGATGAGGTTTGTTCCCTCCTCCCCAGGGTGCCAGGGAGGCACGTGAGGGTCCTCGCTGTCCCCCCTTTCGGGCAGGCTAAATCCTCGTGGACACCGAGCCCACAGCCCCCCGGTGGCCAGATTTGCGCAGGCGTCTCCTACTAGAGCCCTCACGTGGGGTTTGGTTTTCTGTCTGAATGGGGTATAAGACGGTGGCACCGTTGTAAGCCAGTGGCATCTGAGATTTGGTGGAGACAAAGGGCCGTGAGCTGTTGTGATTTTCAAGGACCCAGTGGGTCGAATCTGCCAACCCCCCGTGGGACCAGTGTCTTTCCTCCCCGGTTAAGCTGTTGGAAGCAACGGTCTCTCACCCAAGGCTTCTTGTCCACGAGGGGAGGAGGACACCCCACCAAACAGATGGGCAGCAACTCACAGGCAGGTCGGCCCCCGCCCAGCCCCCCGCCCGCCCCGGCCCTGTCCGGGCCCGGCCGCTCACGGCCAACTGGCCCAGAGGGACGGGGAGGCGCCACGAGGAGGGGGGCAGGTGAACCGGCCGACGCACCCAGAGCGGGAGCTGCAGGAAGGAACCCGGATGCGCCAGCAGGCAGCGGAGCTCACGGCACTGCACTGCTCGCAGAACAAGCCGCGAGGGGCAGAGCCCCGCGGTGTCACGGGGAGAGCACGGACTCCGCCATCCCTCAGGGGTCACTTCGTCAAGTGGCTCACTCAGAGCCCGTGGCTTCCATCGGTGAGCCTGGCCCCCCTCCCCCCGGGAAGGTGTCATTGCCCATCTCGGGGCTCACAGTGATGGGGGGGGGGCTGCAGGTGGCCTGGAGTCCACCCCGCAGCCCGCAGGTGCCCAGCTGAAGCATCAAGGCCCCTAGGAGCAGCAGCACCCAGACCCGACCCTCCCCAGGCTTCCTCTGGGACAGCACTCAACTCACTGAACTTAGCCCGTCTCTCTTCTAGAGAGCTCTCCCAGGACGGACTCCGCACCGCCCCCGCTGGGCACTCGGGAGACATTCTCCTCACAGGGCCTGGCCTGGCCTGGGGTCTGGGGGCGCCGGATGCCACTGGCTGGTGCCCTGGGAAGGCACAAGGTTTGCAGGACTGACTGGTCCTCAGACAGCTGGCTCGGGCTGCTGCAAAGGCCCCTTTGCAGAGAAACCAGAGGCTTTTGAACAAAATGTTCACGGATTTGCACGGTGCTCGGGACAGGACGCCGTTCTGCGAGGCATTTAAGTGTGCGTGAAGACTATCTTTCTAATTAAAAAAAGATTGAGGCGCCTGGGTGGCTCAGTGGGTTAAACTTCCGCCTTCAGCTCACATCGCGGTCTCATGGTTCGTGGGTTCAAGCCTCACGTCGGGCTCCCTGCTAACAGCACGGAGCCTGCTTCGGATTCTGTCTCCCTCTCTCTCTGCCCCGCCCCCCCATGCACTCACACTCTCCCTCTCTCTCTCTGTCAAAATAAATAATAAACATAAAAAAAAATAATAAAGACCACAAACCCAAGGCGAAAGAGAATATGGTGAGAGAATGTTCTAGAATGCCCAGCATGGGCATTATAATAGTGCTCTCCGGGGAGGCATCTGTGCCTGAGTGACTTTCTGGAAAACTCCCTGGTGGCTTCCGGGAAGGCAAAACAGGAGAACAACATCCACCTGCAAAGACTCTTGTCTCTTTCCAGCCGTGGCACCCTCCCCAGGACAGGATGCGCGTATTTCCTCCGCTGGATTTAAGGCCTGAAGAGCGTACTGGAACGAGGCTGTGAAGCGTGGGGCATGTTCCCCCCCCAGCCCAAGTGAAGTTCTCAGGGAGGAGAGAGGCCTTCAACTTAAAGGTTCACAGCCCGGCTCCGAGTTACATACGACACAACGGAGGCCAAGCTCTTCTTTGCAAGCACCGGGGGCGTCTCGGGGACCCCCAGGCTCCAGGCCCAGCTGCGAACCCCCCTGCGAACCCAGTGACTTAGCCCCTCGATGCCCTCACAGCTGCAGTTGCCAGCCCAAGGCTGGAATGTGGTTTTCACTGAACTGCCTGGGTGGGGTTTTTTTTAACCGCTTCCCGACCACACATCTATAGTTGTCATTAGTCCTAAAAAATAATTTGTTTTATTTGAATTGCGCTGCAGACCTGATGAGCACTTAAGTATGTCCGGCTTGCGGGGAGGCCCTGGGGAAGCAGCCCAGTGACACCCAGGTGGTCGGGACGGAACCTGCCCCAGGCTACGGACTGCTCCCACCGCCCTGAGGGGCCGAAGGAGCTGACTGCCGTGCGCGCGTGTCTCCAAGGAGCGAGCTCAGGACCCCTCTTGCCCGGGCCCTCGGCTGAGGGGCCAGCGCTGCGGGCTCCGGACTGTGCCGCATCCCACTGGCGAGGCCCTACCCGAGAGCCCGCTGACCGCGTGGTGGGCCCGATCGATTGTGCAGCCCAGCCCCAGTTTCGCGGGGACGGCTGGGGCCGGAAGAGGCCAGCCAACGGCAGGGGGCGGGAGTGAAGAGGAAACTGCGAGCCTTCACCCCTTCCCCACCCCCCTGCCCCGCACAACACACCTCTGCAGAGGACCCACTTAACGACGCACTTTCCTATTTCTGAATTGTGAACTAGATGCATGTGCAGTTCCCAGACACGGTCCCCTGGGCGCATTTAGTGACAGCGGCAGTGGGTGGCGCCACCGGGGAGTGGCCCCCTCGACAACCAGCCTGAGGGAAGCCCCCGCCTCTCCCGGCTGCCCCAATGCTGGGCAGAGCGGCTGCGGTGGACACCCGGGGCCCCCCTCTCCCGGCCGCTGTCCCCTGGCACACCCGGGCTCCGCCTGTTGCCGGAACCTCGACCATCTCGCGGACGTGGTCCAGAGGCTCCGCGGTGGTCTTGAGAGAAGAGCCGGCGTTCGCGTGCTTGTACGTCGTCCTCAGAACAGGCTCTGAGCGCAAACGTATTCCTCACGTCCTTCCCCACTCGAGATTCCGACCCTTCGTAGTAAACAAAAGAAGGCAGGAAGGATGCACGTGTGACCGGTGAGCCAGCCCACGTGCGTCGCGCCGGACAGAGCGGGACAGGGGGAGCCGACCGCAAAGTTTCTCAGAGACGGGCGCTTCCCGACCCCGTCTGCCTGCCCTGGAGTGTCCTGCCCTGACCGCAGACTGCAGCCGTGGGATCGGGAGCCCCACGCCAGCCTCCCAGAGAATCTACCCTCCAGACCCGGATGCTGCTGCGAGCAAGGGAGTAATATTAACAAGGAGGCTGAAGGAGCGGGCGTCAAGCTGGGCCACCCCAACGGACCCTGAGCAAGCACGGTCACCCGGCCCCTAACAGCGGCCGTCCCTGCGGGGGACACCCAATGTGCGCGTGGCCCTGTGAAGGGTGCCTTCCGACCCACCATCCCGAAGCACCCCTGCAGCCTGAGAAAGGAGGTGGGGAAACGGAGGCTCGGAGAGGGACAGCCACTGTCCTAGGGCCACCCGGCCGCCACGCGGCCCAGCCTGGGGCTGAAACGATCCACAGCCGGTGCTACGTCCTCCACCCCGCCACCGCTGCCCCCCACGACCTCTGCCCAAAGCCAAGCCGCCATTTGGGGGTCCCGACCAGCGCTCCCGTGGCAGGACCAGGGCCCCGTCCACTAGGCTCTGACGAGTCCCGGCCAGGCCCTCAGCGTTGTCTGCCACAGGCAAACGATGCTCTCGGTGTCCAGAGAGCTGCCGTGGGCAGACGCCGGGTGCGAGTTGGCCAAGCTGGCCAGGACCTGGCGGGAGTGCTGGGGGAGCTGGGGGCACACGCAGGGGTCAGCCGCCACCTTACCGTAGCCCGGGCGCTGGTTCAGGACGCCCCAGGGAGCATTAACAGTGACCGAGGTCACGAGCTCCACTAACCTATTGGGAACTGAGCAGGAGTCCGGCAGCCATGGCCACGCTCACATACGCACCTGTGCTCTGGAGATGTGGAAGGTTCTGGAATCACGGACGAGTACTAAGGCGGCCCTCACATTACTAGCTGAGTGGCTCTGTGCACGCGGTCTGAGCCTGGGGCGCGTGTCCCCAGTGAAAGGCAGCGGGGAGTTGAGCTTGGGGACGGCAACCCGGTCGGTCAGCGTGCAGGAAGAGTCGCCCGGCCAGGGACCTCCCGCATCAGAAGCGCGAACCGAATCAGAACCGTGCAGCCCTGTGTGTGGACGAGACTCTGAGTGGCTGGTGGTTCAACCCACAAGAATTCAAATACCGAGGGATGTGCTGTTTCTCCCACGACAGCCTCTCCCCCCCTCGTCAGGTCGCACGCTTGTTCCGGTTACAAATATTTTAGGCATATTCCCCGGGGAACCGTTTTCAGCCCTGTGTCGCAGTCTTTGAAGGTGGATTTAAGCTGGTCAGAAATACCACCAAGTCGCCTCGAGCTGCCCTGTGGTGTGAAGGAAGAAGGTAAAGGAGCGGGGGACGCGGGGACTCTCCCTCTCTGCCTCTTGGTCGTCGCCCTCGGGTTTTACTTGTTCAAGCGACGGTTTGAATTAAGGTCCCAGGCAGGCAGCACGCTGGCCTCCAGGAGTCTGCGGTCTAGGGGCGGGGCGGGGCGGGGCGGGGGCGATGGACACGGAGCGGGGGCCGCTCCCCAACCCAGTCCCTCAGCGCCCCTCCCCCACTGGACACCCCTGCTTGTCCCTGTTGACCTGCGTCTCCCGCCAGCAGAACGGAGAGCCTATCGAGGCGGGACTCCCCCAGAAGCTGGCACAAAGCCCAGCAGGCAGGAAGCGCTCAGCAGGCGGTGAGTGAATGAGTTGTAGCCCCTCGTCGGCACCTGT